TTAAGATTAGGCACATGATAAACAGATTTTAAGTGTAGGGGCCGAGGCAGAGTAGATAAATGCAATTCACCAACAGTCATAACAGGAAGACTAGAGTCATTAGCAACTGTAATTTTTAGCGGTCCAGAATAAATAGATTTATTTTGCAAAATACCTTCATTTGAGGTCATGTGAGCAGAAGCACCCGAGTCAGGATACCAGACAGCTGGAGTGGATTCACCTGTAGAGACAGCCAAGGCAGGGGCCTGAGCCTGAACAAAACGAGAGGGACATGCAATAGCTGAATGACCTGGAGAATGACATATCTGACACACAACAGGTGGAGGGACTGAACCAAAACTATTCTCAAAAGATGGAGATCCTGCAGAAGCATAGTTAGTAGAAGAACTATAGGGAGCCGGAGTATAAAACGATGACTGAACTGAATTACAAATAACTGTACCCGGTCCCCACTGATGAAGCTGATTGGTTCCCCGACCGGACTGTGGCTGCTGGAGTTGCGGCTGGCTTGGATTGCCGTACGCAGGAGGCTGTCCATACGTATAGGCTTGCTGATTTCGACCTCTGGCGCGCCCTCGTCCGCGACTGCCACGGCGTCCGCCACGCCCTCCGCGTCCTTGGTTCTGTTGCGGGTTGCCAGAAGAAGAAGAGGAAGCCGCACGTCCTCCTACGGAATTGGACGCAGCAAACGCAGGTGCAGTAGCTGAATTCTCCAAGGATCGTTGATAACGGAGACGTGCATCTTGATGGATTCAAGCAGAATATATAGTCTTTTAACCGTATATAGTCTAACATTGTCACTGCCAAAAACGATATAGTGACGATTCAATATTAATGTCACGATTTAATCATAAGATTATTATAAAATTTTCACAATCTCACAATTTACAAAAATATCAGTCACCGAAAATGTCATAATATCAAAGAAACGTCAAAATGTCAAATAATAATTCCGTCAATGTCAATATCAATGTCATTGTAATAATCTGTAATAATGTCATGATAATGTCAATGTTATAAAAATGACATTGTTATAAAAATGATGTTGTTAAAAACAATGTCAATGTCATAAAATTATAAATATTGTGATAAAAAGAAAAAAAAAATGTTACAATGTTAGAAAACATCACAATGTCAAATAATGACAATATCAATGCTATAAATGTCATTGTAATAATCACAATGTCATGATAATGTCAATGCTAGAATTTTGACATTGCGAAAATAACAATGTCAATATCGATGTCAATGACTTCCAGGGCAATGTCTTTGCTATAATTTAGAAAAATGATATAATGTCAAAAAAGTGTCACAATATCAAATAATAAGAATAACAATGTTTTCAATATCGACATTGTAATAATGACAATGTCGATGTCGATATTGATATTTGTCATGACAATGTCATTGCCAGAATGTAGAAAAATTTTACAATGTCAAAAATATATCACAATATCAAATAATAACAATGACATTGAAAATAGTGTGAAAGATGGAGAATTATCATATATTTATATATCATACATAGTATCAATTTTTAGCCATTGTTTTTCACATAATTATATCGTGGGATCGGCCCACCTTCCGCATGGTGTGCCGATCCCACTTTTACAAAGTTACGTTCCTTATTTTTCTTCCCTGGAGCTTCTTCCTTCCTTCTTCTCCATTTCCATCAAATTAAAATATTAAAAATTTAATTGTAGTTTTACTTTTCCTTATCTTCAATTTAAATTATAATTGAATCTATTTTTTAATTCTTGATCAATACGTAACAAAAACTTTAATAATCTAAATAAAATAAGTACATCACATTTCATATTCATACACTATTTTTTGTAATATCTTTTTTACATTCATACATTTTTTTTAATATATTTTTATATGCATACACTTTTTCTATTATATATTTTTTATCACTTTTATATGTTTTTAGAGGTTTTTAAGATATTGAGTTTGTTTATTTTGCTTCTAGCTTGGAGTTACATTTGATAATATACGAAGTTACATCATCTTATACTCCAGCTACAAATTATTATGCGTGAGTTACATCTTGTTATGTATGAATTACATCTTCTTATACACGAGTTACATACTTTTATGCGCGAGTTACATGTAATTATGTGTGAGTTACATCTAATTATTTGTGATTTTTTACTTATCTTTATCTTGAAATAATTCAATTATAACTGAATTAATTTTTTTCTTTACCAATTTAATACAAAATTTTATTAATCCACATAAAATAAGTATATTGTATTTCATATTCATACACTATTTCTTACTTTGTATACTTTTTTTATATTTATTATACACTTTTTTTGTAAAATATTTTTTATATTCATATACTTTTTTCTATAATATATTTCTTCTCTTTTATATGTTTTTTGTGTTTTATAGTCATTAAGGTTGTTTATTTCGATTTAAATTTGAAAAAACATGAGAATAATGCATTTTTCGTATGTGTGAGTTATGTTTATAGACAATTTCTACAATTACATTTGATATTATATGGAGTTACATCTTCTTATGCACGCTTTACATCTTCTTGTGCGTGAGCTACATCTTTCTATACGCGAGTTACATTTGAGTTTGCCTCAAGAGGTTGCATTTTGCATACACTAAAGTTAGATTTTCAATCAACGCGGGTTACATTATATTTTCTGTAATACGAATTACATCACAACATAAAGTCTACTATTGAAACAAAAGAATCATTGTTATGCAAAAAACAAATTATTTTCCAAAAAAAAAATATGAGTTTTGGCAAAAAATGTATTTTTAAAAACATTTTTATGGACTTAATATTAAAAAAAAATATTCACCATTTATGTTAACCCCTGCTATTGAATTAAAAAAATACTTTTTTTTTTCAAAAACAAAAATAGACTCCTTGTTTTCAATAAAAACAAAAAAATACTTTTGGCAAAAAAGGATAAAAAAAATTATGTCCTTAATATTAAAAACAAAACATGTAAACTATTTAAGTAAAGTAATTAAGCAATTAGACTCCTTGTTTTCATTAAAATCAATGTTTTATTTCTTATAATTCGTATTAGACAAGTTACATTTTGACTTGCTTGCTGTTAAATTTCTTATTAACGTGAATTAGATTATGTTACACGCGGGTTACACCTATTCCGCTATTGAGACAATGAAAAAACAAAAAAGAAGTTACTGTTCACGCGTGTGAATAGTAACACATTTTTTTTGTGGGAGCAGCATGCTCACCGTGGCTGCTCCCACGGTATACCAACTGTGCAAGAAAATTGGATAGAGCACCGTGTAGATCTAGAAAATTTTGAAATTGAAACAAAAATCAAACTAAAGCGGAGGAACAGGAACTCTAACGAATCACCGATCACATGCCATCCGAAGGTACCGGGGGGAGATTCTGGGATCTCTTCTTCTTGTGGATAAAACAGGTGGTGGACAGGATAAGAATCAAGGCAAGATTATTAAAACCCCACCCTATCAACATTAGATCCGTAGTTTTCTGCAATTGAAAAAAGAGAAATTTCCCATGATATAATTAAAACTCAATTAGTTTCTATTTTTAAAATTAGAAGTTTCTAAAATTAGAGTTTGTGGGCATTAAATATGACATTGAACATTGGCAGTTCAAGAAGTGTTGAGTATGAGCAGTGTGACCTAACTAGTTTTTAGACTTTTGTACGATCAAAAATCCAAAAAAATAGAAATCTCGTTTATATTAAAAGCTTGAATGACAAAAATGCCCTTGTTTAAATAAAATATGTGCATTTTGCACTAATTTCGTCTGATTAAAATTAGTTCACTTTGTATTGCCGTTAATGCACAAAATTAATGCACGACTTTACTGCACATATGGTAATAATCACTGCACTTCCGCCAAAATTAATTCTCTTCTTGTTCACTTGAAGAATTTATTTTTTTGTTTTTATTTTTTGTTTTTTAGATTTAATAATTTTTATTATTTTATATCCAATTAAGTATATTGCATTTAATGAAGATATTACTGCTTTGTATTACTGCAATACTGGTCATAATCATTGCACAACAAATTTTTTAATGCATTCATTCACTGCCATGTACAGAATGTCTAATACCATATATATTCACTGCTCATACTCAACACTTATTGAACTGCCAATGTTCAATGCCATATTTAATGCTCACAAACTCTAATTTTAGAAACTTCTAATTTTAAAAATTGAAAAGCAAAAAAATAGAATTGATGGTCAAACCAACTAAAGAATCCAGAGCAGTGGCCTCCGCATTAACCAAATTGCTACAAACCTATGATGTAACAGGCGGCCCATTGTTATGTAACAACCACAACCCTTCATGTAATTAACATGCGTCGCACTTCCACATTAACCAAATTGCTACAAACCTAGGTTTCGCTTACTCTCCAACGGGGGATCTAGAAGATGGTGGGCGGCTGGGTGGCGGCGGGCTCTAGCTTCTGTCCTGGACAGCGGCGGACAGTGGATCGTGGGGCGGCGCCTTGGCACCCAGGTCAGGCAGACAACTGCCCAGCAAGCGACGTTGCTTCGGGGGTCGGCAACTATGTTCCAGACCGGAGTTCTGTCGAAGGCGGCGGCACTTGACGATGGGCGGTGGGGGCTGGACGGTGGCTAGACGGCGGACGACAGTTGGAAGGCGGGGCGGCTGCACGGGTGGGCTTGGGAGGTAATAGCTAGGGTTGTAGAAAAAGAATAGGAGGTTAGGGTTTTATAGGTATAAGCTAAAGGTATATTTATCCATAAATATTATTTATTATTTATTAATTACGAATCTTGATTAATTATTATGATTTTTAATATTATTTTGATAAAAAAAACTAGTTAGGTCATGATCCTAAATAGGAGCTTAAGTTTTTCATATGTAATTAAATAAGATCTTGACTTTTTTAACTTTTGAATATGACTACTTTTTCCGTCTCTTCCAATTTTGCCCTTGTACTATTATTTTCGTATCTTCCTCTATTCTCCTTCTTTCTTGTATGTGGACAAACTCTCAGGCCCCAGCAAACTCCCAACGACACTTCTCTTTCATCTTGACGAAGAGGAGCTGCAAATAGAGATCAAACACCACGGAGAAGATGCAACGCATGATGATGTGGCAACGAGGTCACGGTGAGTCGGTGTCGCGGCGATGGCTGCATGACGTCAGCACCGGTGGATGGCGGCACAGCGTCAACGTCAGTGGAAGGCGGCACGATGTCATCGTCGGCCATTGGTGGATGGTGGCAGAAATTACTTCTTCTTCTCTTCTCTTCTTTTCTCCTCATTTCTTCCGCGATCTGGTAGCTTTTCTTTTGTCGACCCGGTAGCTATTTTTGTGGATCTGGTGCTTGATTTTCCGGATCTGGTAGCCATGAACCGTAAGCTAGCGCCTTCTCTTTTCTATTGTTTCTGTGAGCGGTAGCCTTTTAAAAGTTGCATTGAAACTTTTAACTCTTTTTTTGCATTATATTTTTTTATTTTTATGTTAATTTTTTAATTTATTACTCCAAATTTCTTTGATTCATATTAACGATTTATGGATTTTAGCTTTGAACCCGCTTATTTATGGGGAATGATGATTTAGATTTCCACTCTTGTTTTATTTTATTTAAATGTCATTTTTATTGTTACATTTCAATATACATTTTCATCTATTTTTATAATGATATCAACATTGTGACATTGTTGATAGGTGATTATTATAACTGCCATGGTAAAGCACCAAAGAGATCCTCAGCTGTCCTATGTAAATTAGCAAATGAAGCTAGTTCACTTTCTCATATTGATGCAGCTTACCATACAAAGAAGATTAGCAAATGAAGCTAGTTCACTTTCTCATATTGTTTTTTTTTTGAGAGAAAAGAAAAGTGCTATGTTTTATTCTATGTTTACTCCGTGTGTTATGACATTATTATAAATGTTTGGTTCCACTTTCATTGTTATTCTTATGACAATGTTATTAACATTTTTATTACATTGTCATTTACATTCTTATGACATTGTCATTGACATTCTTATGACATTGTCACTGACATTGTTTTGTATTGACATTCTTATGACTTTGTCATTGATATTCTTATGACATTGTCATTGACATTCTTATGACATTGTCACTAACATTGTTTTCTATTGACATTTTTATGACTTTGTAATTGACAATGATATTATGACGTGTTAATTTTCTTCTAATCTTCTTCTTTTCTCCCTTCTTCCTTTCTACCGCTGATCTTCTTTTCTTCCGCCCCTGATCTTCTTTCTTCAACCGATCTGCTTTTATTTTTTGCTGCCGTAAATTTTGTTTTCTGTTGAATGCTTTTTCCCCAGTAAATTCTTTTGCTTTTGTTTCATTTTGTTTTGCTTCATTTTCCTTTTGTTTATTCCTTTTGGTTTTTATCTAATTTCTTTTTTAAACTGAAACTAATTAAAATCAAATTGGCTTTCATTTTCCTTTTGCTTCGTTAATTGCTTCATTTTCCTTTTGCTTCGTTAACTGTCATTGTTATTATTCATTTCAATGTTTATTCTCATATGCTTTTATCACTAAATTGGCTTTGCTAACCATTTAGTTGTTATTACAAATAAGCAAATAGCTGCTGTCTTGGACTAATGCAGAGGGTAGTTGTTCCATTTAATGTATGCATCACTGAGTTTTTGTTTTGCACCAAAACTATTTGATGAAATGCTTATGTGAAAAATCACCGTGTTTTACATTTTCAATTGAGAAAAATCATGAGCAGCTTATTTAAAGTGCATGAACGAGTGGGCTGATAATGTCCAGGCTACATTGACACTGTCACGACAATGTCATTGACACTGCCAGGGCAATGTCATTGATATTCTTATGACATTGTCATTGACATTCTTATGACATTGTCAATGATATCGTTTTCTATTGACATTCTAATGACTTTGTCATTGATATTCTTATGACATTGTCACTGACATTGTTTTCTATTCACATTCTTATGACTTTGTAATTGACATTCTTATGACATTGTACGAGTAATTCACATTTTCATCATTACAGTGTCATTATTTAAACAATGACACTGATTTTAAGCAATTACTCTATTGCTATGACATTGTTTTACACAACGTTTTAGTTAGTGATATTAAATCACATTATTGTTGATTTATTCAATGACTTGACGGTGTCTTAGTTTTATAAAATGGTAGTGATTACACTATACTACGAATCTCAATGTTGACAACGTCAATGACAATGTAATGTCGTTGACATTGTTAGGTCATTATCATTGACATTTAAGTTTTGACAATGTCATTATCCAAATGTCATGATAATGTCATTGTGTATAGACAATTCCAATCACAATGTCAATAATAATGTCAATGCCATTGTCATAACAATTTTATAAGACAATGCTTACAATGTAATTTAGCATAGTGACGTTTTATATATACTCTCTCTACCTCGGAAAAGTTCACCAAATTTAAATTAAATTTATAAAAATTTCAAAATATTAATTATAATAAAATTGATGTTATTACAATGTCATTATTTATAGCATTGACATTGTCATTATTTGATATTATGACATTTTTTGACATGTGACATTTTTTTAACATTGTGACATTTTTAACATTGTCATTATACAATGTCAAGTTTTAACATTGTGACATTTTTTAACATTGTGACATTTTTAACATTGTCATTATACAATGTCATTACAATGTCAAGTTTTATCATTGTGACATTTTTTAACATTGTGACATTTTTAACATTGTCATTATACAATGTCATTACAATGTCAAATTTTTTTAACACGTCATAATATCATTGTTCAAAACAATACAACAAAATCCAACAAAATTAGGGCGATGTTACTAATATTAAATTACTAATAACAATGTCATAATATTTACGGAGTATCATTTTTTTTGAATTTCAGAGTATCATATTATTATCAATGAAAATTATTTTCCAAAATAAATACAGAAAAATGAAAATTCCATAAAATTGAATTCCCTTGTCAACAAAATGAAATAAAAATGGAAAAGCAAATATTATGATTACGAAGTTGAAAAATAAAACAACAAACAACGAAGAGCTACAGACCGAAGAGTTACGGCTCATCACTAGAGAAGAAACTCCATAAAAGGACGGGGGAAGAGGGAAGAAAGAAGAAGAAAATAAGAACGCGACCACATATGCACTCCGGCAACGACAACGGCGACCACTCCAGCGACGAGCAGCAGCGACCACTCCGGCAACGAGCAGCGGCTACCACTCTGGCGACGAACAACGGCGACCACTCCGCGAACGAGCTGTGACAACCACTGCAGTTACAACAAACGACGCTCGACTCGGCAGTGAATATTCAACTAATATTCACGTTCGACTCAAACAGCGGCCTCCGTCTTTGGCAGTTCCGCTCTTGGCTTGCGAGGGAGGATTGAATGGATGTGTATGTTGGCGGCAGCTGGGTATATTCAATTAATAGAGCGTACTTTTGTCCCTTTGGTTCAAAATTAGTCCTATTTAGGTTTAAAAGAGTTGCTAGTCCTATTTATGTTCATGGCACTACTTTTAGTCCTATTGAAGTCTTTTTTTCATAGAATGGGAAAGTCATTGAGTTTTAGTAATACGTAGGGTAATTAACTCTTGAAAAAAATGAGAAGAAGGGTCTCCACGCCTAGCGACCGCTGCCATGTCGCCATCTCATCACCAGCGAGGCAGCGAGTAGCCGTACAACCAGGGTTTCCAATCCCGACGCCGCATCGCCTAGTGCAACCAGAGCCTTCCACTGCCGCCGCTGCATCGCCGGACTGTCTCTGGCTCACCAACGTACCATCGTGTACTCGTGGTTGACCATAGGAAAGAAGAAAAGCCTTGATGAGAACTTGGTTGACATAGAGCATTTAAAATACGGAATAAAAGACTAGGGGTAAATCTGGAAGAAACAGGAAAGTAAGTCTTATTTAGGAGTTAAAAAAGTCAAGGTCTTGTTTAATTACATACACAAACTTAAGCTCTTATTTAGCACCATTTCTCTTGGATCAATTAGGTCAAAACCTTGGATTTTGCATCTACCTTGGATCAACTAGGTCAAAACGTTAAAAATGTTGTTTAATACGGAGTAATTGGCTTGTGCGTTAATCGATTTGTATGAAAAAACCGAAAAACAAAAAGCCACACAGGGCAGCATTTTGGTCTAAAAGATTAAAATTTTACCATTCATGCCCTCATATCCCATTGATGTGAGTTTTCTCGCACTTAAAATAGATTGTAGTAAAGGGACGGACAAAAGGGAATTAAAAATTAATTAAATTCAGCGATTAAAAAGAAATAAAATAAAATAAATTGTGCGAGATTTGATTGATTGGAAAATTAACTTGCAATTAAACGAATACTAAAGCTAAGGGGTTCTTTCTAATTAACAACGAAGGGAATAGATATTTATTCCGGGGTAACCATATTTCTGGCAGATCAGGTCAAATTGCATGAAATTAATTTAATTGAGACTAGCTAGTCATTACTAAGTTCTTACCGCTCTCGCGACGTAGAGTACAATAATTTAGGGGACCAGGCTGATCTCTCATGCGACAGGATCCTAAATTATTGTCAAGACAAGCGAGCTTACGACCCCTTAATCGCTACTAATCTCTTAGGGCACGATTAAGTGTGTGTGACTGTGTCCTAGAATAAATTAGATCTCTCTTAACTTATTCTACAAGCAATTGTAATTCTAGCGCACGTTCTAGGTTACAAGAGATATCAATTAAATTATTCAAACACAAATTAAACGGCATTCATGCAATTAATCCATCAAGAATCTAGTCATACATCATGATTAACCCCTTCATCAATCCCAAATCCCTAATTAAACTACTCACAATTCATAATTGAAGAATCAACATAATTGAGCTGAATAGAATTAATTGTCATTAATTAAAAAGATAGAACTTACAAAGAATCCCAAAAGATTGATGAACAAGGCTGAAAAGCTCTCTAAATTTCGTGCTAGGCACTTTCTCTAAGCTTCCCCCCTCCAAAATAGGGTTAGGAAGGCCTTATTTATAGAAATTCGAGTTCTGGTCGAACTAGGACAAGGTTTTTCACTGTTTCTCTAGTCCTATTTTTCACCGTTTCTATAGTCCGAATTGGACAAAACTTCTTTCCGGAACGTTGTAGAGAATGAAGTCCTCTATCCACCACATTTTTCAGAATTGGATTTGAATCATCCAATAAAGAGATATGAATTCAATGGTGGAAGGTTTCATTCTGAAATTGAAATATGTATCATCTGACTTTATCTTCTGTTTTCACCTTCTTCCTATCCTATTCTCGCGATGATGTCTTCATATGATTTGTATCCCTTGAAGTTGGCTTTCATATGCAACTTGAATAGTGTCCTTTGGATGCTTTTACAAAGAGATATGCTTGAACGATTCACATAAGGTCATTCTGAACGTCGTTTTCAAGTTCTATTTGTCTTCTTTTGATCCCGTAGCCAATCCTAGAGCTCTTTTGTCATCAAATCTTCATTGTGAACCTCCTGGTGACCTCCAAAGCTCTCAATTCACTCTCGAATGTTTCTCGAATTATCCCGATTGTTCCTCAAGCGCCGGTGCCGGACTCTAAATTCTTGATTTTGACTCCAAATAACACAAAACTCGAACCGAAGCCGGGTACACAATTATTGAGCTAAAATTGAGATTTGTGACACCTAAAAGTTAGGGAAAACATCAAAAACCGATCCCAACACGCGTCAAATGTGTGTTGTAATACGGACTTATCACCCATCTCCATCAAATCGGCCTTTTCCCTTCTTTTCTTTTCACGCTTCAACTTTAAGGTACCATGTACATTGTTTTTCATGATTTTTCTTCTTGTGGTTTTTCAGATTTGTTGTTTCTTCATTACTCTTCTCCTATACAATCGTTTGAGGCACGTGATTTTTCTTGACACTATTAATGTTCTTTTTGCAATATAAAGTCATCCAATTTCTT